ATCTAACGAGGTGAAGCAGAACTTTCTTTCAAAAAGTCGAGCAGCAGTTCTTTAATGAATTCAGGACCAACCATTCTGTTCTTTTAGACTGAGGGTAAAATCCGGGCCCCACTGACATCCATGGCAACCTTCCCATTGGCTTCAATGGGGACATGGTTTTAACAAGTGTCCTGTGTTATCCTATACTGAACTATGCTGGAATAACACTGGGCTGTAATTACACTGGGATCAGAACCATGTTCAAACTTGGTTGCAGTTAATAGCATTCTGGCACCGTTTTCATGACCAGTGTGGCCATGTGTTTTTCTTATGTGAATCGTGCCAGCCAACCTGGGCAGTAGCCCATACCTTCCTTGATGAACTGTAGTGTAGTTTTATACCTGGATTCTCAGAATAATTAATCTCCATCCAGGTCCCATCTACGCTGTAAAAGTGCCTGGTTTGGGGATATGGTAGCCCCCCCCATTGTGGCTAAAACCAGATTTGTTCTCAGAGTGAAAACTGGCTTGCACTTCTGTAAGGCCTGAGCAGTGCTTAATTTGTAATGAAAGAGGTGCCAGGCTCAAGCAACTAGGTGCCGGAGCTCAAGTAACTTTTTTACATTCATAACTGACGCAGCAAACCCCGAGGTGCCAGGGCTATGAACCGCCAAGCCCCGAGGTGCCGGGGCTATAAACTGCCAAGCCCAGAGGTGCCAGGGCTATGAACCGCCAAGCCCAGAGGTGCCGGGGCTATGAACCGCCAAGCCCAGAGGTGCCAGGCCTCAGCCCTCGCAAACCCTGACACAAATTAAGCCCTGGGCCTGAGTCACTTTTCTGACTGCACTACAATCACACCAGCGTCAATGAGAGCAGAATTTGGCCCATGGCTGTGAGCAGCTGCTGGTAGAGTGCTGGGACCTGAAGGAGTGTGACAATGGAGAGTGCCAAATGGGCAGTTTAAGTCAATGAAGAGAGAGGCCTGAGGGAGTTGGGCAGTTCGTGCGCTGAGCTCTTGCACACTGAGCCCCTGCTGAGCGCCTTCTGCTCCCATATCACTTTTATTTTTCTCTATTGTTATTTCTTTTTTCATTTATATTTCTGTGGCCCCCAGAGGCCTCAACCAAGCCAAGGCCCCAGTGTGCTAGCCCATGTACAAACACATTTTCAATGAGAATCCCTGCCCAATGATCTTACAGTCTAGGAAGAGAAAAGGCCTAATAGGTAGAGCTGGGCTCTTTTTTGGGGGGGAGCATATAGTAAATGCCCCCAAAATGCAGTTTCAGGGTGACCAAAGCTATCCATGCGCTCGGATTGAATGCAGCAAATCGTTTCTGGCGAATGAAAAATGAGGACAAAAATTTCAAAAAGTTGAAGCAGTGCAGAACATTTTGTTTCTAAATGAACCGTTTTGTTCAAAAAGAGTCAATTTGAATGTATTTTTTTGGTTTCAAAATGTTGCTTCGTTTGACCCAAACACTATTTTTTTTAAATAATTTTTTGTTTTGGTGAGAAAAACCAATACAAAAAATCAGTTTTGTTGTTTGTTTGCTTGTTTTTTCCACTTTGGCCACTTGGATCCAAAATACCCAGGATTTGCTCATCTTTAATAACAGGTGGATGAAACTGATAAGCATGTAGAGAGGGAAAATGGGGTAACAAGAACTAGGCACTTTTATCATGGACTAGGGACCCGACCCTCAGCTGACATAAAGCAGCAGAGTTCCACTGGTTTCAGGGGGGGCTGCACCAGTTACACCAGTCTGGGATCTGGTCCCAGCCACATGCACAAACAGCAGCAATAATAATTACAGCAATCACAGCCATTAGCCTTATATGTTAATTAAAGGGAGCTTTTATATTAACATATTTAATAAGAAGGTATATGCTGAGTTAGTTTTATGTTTTAATTTGACTACATTGGGTGTTTTTAGAAGTAAGTTATGTCTATGGCTGAAATTTTGTTTCAGGATTTCCGCCGAAAGTGCCCTCCATGCATAGAGGAGCAGAGGGGAAATATTTATGATCTTGATTTCTCTCGTGTAGCAAGCGGAGACGTTTTTTCCCCCGGCTGTTTTGTTTTTATCTTATGTGGTGATTGACCATCTGTTTTACATAGGTCTTGAGTCTGTGGTCTTTATCATGAGTACAATGGTGCAGAAATATTTGTAACAGAATCTGAAATCACATGAGACTTGCTGATGGGGAACTTTGTTACAAACTTGAGACTTACTCCAGGTTCAGAGAGAGGTTGGTCAAGGTTCACCAAAATGGTCAATACATATGAGGCGCTGTCGTTCTTTGGAATGTGTCTTATTAATGCCTACTTATATATCATCTGCAAAACATGACTTCTTTCAATTCCTTTTCCCCCTTTTATCGTTTCATTCTGTCATACGCTGGCTATAAGAGGTTCACGTGCAAGATCAAGAGGTGTTTGGTGGAATTATAGCCCATTTTATGGAGGATCAGAAATATATAGTTCCAGTTGACTCTGTCAGATGTTGTTTTTCCATATCTAAGGAAACGGCTGAAGTGGGGATTATATTTATGTTGATCAGTGTTAAGTTCAAAAGCAGTCATCTCTTTTTATGCCTATTAATTTTATTACAAATACTGTTTGGTTAGGTTGGATTGTTTTACTTTTGAAGTCTTTCAGGCCTGGGAGCCATTATTTTCCAAAGGATCGGTAATACTTATATTGGTGGATATTTGGAGTCTAGTGTTAGGTTTTTGGTTGTTGTCAGGGTTATTTAAAATAAAGAGGAGCTTTATTTTAAAAAATGACTCGTAAAATAAAATAAAAATCCACATTTATTGTGCCTCAATGATTTTCAGATCTTATTTGTTCAGTTAACAAGGAAACAGGTTTGGGTTTTTTTCCTAATGACCAGGCTGATAAAGTAAAGGTGAAATCCTGACCCCATTGAAGTGAATGGAAGTTGGGAATCTGAAAGTCAAGTTGGGTTCTTTTTGGGTTATGCATCTCTAACAATGAAGACTTTGCAACCAGAACATGGTTCACAATTCAGCTGATGAAGCATAAGCCAGAACAAAATCCACCTCATTCTCCTAGAGCTGAACTGGCTAGGCAGGGCTAACAGCAGTGAAATGCTTTTATCTAACCCAAGTTATTGGGCCTAATATAGGGGTAACTGGGTGAACTTAATGGCCCGTGTGATACAGGATGTCAGACTATGATCTAATGGACCCTTCTGCCTTAAACTCTATGAAACTAGCCAGTAAATCAAGAGATGTTACTTTGAGGGCCAGATCCTCAGGTGGGGCATATTGCTCAATGGAAGCTTCAGGAATATTTGCAAATACGCTGGAGGCCAGAGCCTCAGCTGGTGTAAATATATTGATTTCATTGAAGTTACACCAATTTACAGCTACTGGGGAACTGGTCCTAAACTTCTATAGGGCCAGATTGCTTCAGGACCTTGCTCAGCCATGCAGGGGTGTGATGTAGCCTCCCTGCACGACAGTGCCAGAGCCGCCCATGATAGCAGGAAGGGCTGAGGATATCTGGATTCATTAGCATATGGGGCGGGGACTCCAAATATTACAACACAACACCACAATATGAATAGCCAACCTGTGTTTCCATGGGATTTCTGTGATAGATACTTGGCCAGCTGCTGGTGTGGAACTCCCCCTGGGCTCCCTGAGCTATCACAACCAGTCTACACCCTCTGGGATCTGCTTCCCTGAATGCAGGAGCCTGGGCAAGACAGTCTCCAGCAGCAGGGAGTGATTCCCCTGAATTGTGAAGAACCATGAGATGGACTCACACCTCCCTCCCTGACCCTGCAATGGCCATGGGTGGGCGTCTCCAATCCCAGATCCTTCTCTGGCAGTGTAGCAGGCATGAGAAGAAGGACGGTCCAGTGTTTAGGATGCTAGCCTGAGGCTCAGGACACCAGGGCTTGGTTCCCCGCTCTGCCACCGATTTCCTGGGTAACCTTGGCTATCGCTTAGCGCCTCAGTGCCCCATCTGTACAATGGGCTAGCACTTCCCTATCTCACAGGGGTGAGGTGACAATAGATAAATAAATTTAAAACAAGAGTGCCAGGTGCTCAGAGATTACAGTAAGTAATGTATAAGTTCCTGGGGTAGCTGTGGGGTGACAGTGATGGGGGAACCCCTAATACTTCTCCCTAAAATATAAAGTAGTTCCAAACAGACAAGTGTCATTAAAGTAAGACTTGTCATCACAGCATGCTGCGGCAGTTAGCTACTAACAATTTCATGCAGGAGTCACGCAGGATTGTGGCTGGAATCCGTGACCAGTCTGTTCTCCCAGGGCCCACCTGGTTCTACCTGCAGCACCCCAATAAACCTACCCTTTTGCCAGCAGCAATGAGTCGGATGCACAGGTTTGCTCTCCCTCCTTGCGTGTGTAACACCGACAGACCCCAGTTGTCATCGGGCAGGATCGAACCAGGGTCCTCTGGAGTTTAGTGCAGGAGCCTCTACCATATGAGCTAAAAGCCAACTGGCTCTTAGCTAAGACTAGAGCAGACTCATTTTATCTCTCTCTCTAAGTGGTCTCGGCACCACTAGATGGGACAGAACACCACACCCAGAAGGTGTGTGGGTTACACGTGCACCAACCTTCCTAATAAAAGGGTCAACTGTGGCTTTGCAAAAGCCCTGTAGATGGAACAGCACATAGTCATCACCTGGCGTGGGAGAGCATACCCAGCATGGGCCCTATACCGGGCACAGTGTACGTTCCTCAATACACTGGCTGGGTCATTTTATGGGGATGGAGCGATTCCCCACCCCTACCCACAAAATGGGTAGCTGGCATGGGGAGTGCAGAGTTCCTTATGCCTCCTTACTTCCTCCCCGTGGGCATGCAGGACAGACGGAGAGTAAAATTAAAGCAGAGGAACATAAGGTTTAAGCACTTCCCCAGGGGCTGATGGTTGGGGATGGAAGGCTCCTCGTGGTGTCTCCCCGCTACACTTCCCTTCCCCCCCCCCGGCTCTCTCTGCCCCTGTTTTGGCACTCACTTCTCCCAGACTCCTGCGGCTGCGGCACCCTGTTGACAGCGCCACCTGATGTGTTTCAGCAGAGCTGGGGGAACGGTGCTGCCTGATGCTCTGCAGATGTTGGCTTTCAGTGGGGCTTTCACGTGGGACTCAAACTGTTGAAACAGCTTTTAACCCTGTGACTAAATGCTCTAACCCGCCAACACTAAGCAAAGCCTGGGCTCCTTAGGGCAAGTTAATGAAAGAAACCCCCACTAGTGCAAGTCACAAGATGTATGAAAAGAACCCCCCCCCCCCCGCAACACACACATTCTTAATGCTAATTAAGCCATAATGATCAAGGCACACAGTATTTCCTGGGGGACTAATAACTAACTGGGAGGAGATGATGACCCCAGACAGTCATTAATCCCCAGGAAATGCCCTGCGTCAAGGTTGTTATTGCTAGTTCAGCCTAAATACGTGAGAAAAGTGGTTTAAAATAGTCTAGTCAGTTGGGCTTTAACTGTGTGCTGCTTTTTGTGATTGTGAGCACGTTAGAGGATACATTCCCAGGTCCATCAGCCAATCGGATGGTGCGGATTGTTCCTCTAGGTCCCCTTCAGGCTGTAAATAAAACGACCAAATCGAAGCATCTCGCGGATACATCAGTTATGGGGCCTGACCCTGAATGGGGTTCAGCCCCTGCAGCTCCAGTTGAAACCCAGGAGAGTCAAGGGTGCGCAGCAGCTGACAGGAGTTGTGACACTTAGCACCCCCCACCCAGGCAATGCTCCAAACCTTCCAGTATTTAGCCCTTTAGGATGGAGAATTAACTTGGGACTATGTGGGAGTGACCCAGACCCCAGGAGTAATCACTGTACTCTGTAGATCGGGGTAGGCAACCTATGGCATGTGTGCAGAAGGCGGCACGTGAGCTGATTTTCAGTGGCACTCACACTGCCCGGGTCCCGGCCACCGGTCTGGGGGGCTCTGCATTTTAATTAAATTTTAAATGAAGCTTCTTAAACATTTTAAAAACCTTATTTACTTTACATACAATAATAGTTTAGTTATATATTACAGACTTATAGAAAGAGACCTTCTAAAAATGTTAAAATGTATTACTGGCACGCGAAACCTTAAATTAGAGTGAATAAATGAAGACTCGGCACTCCACTTCTGAAAGGCTGCCGACCTCTGCTGTAGATCATTCAATATACAATGTAGGATTTGGGCCTTTTCATGGCATGGGGAACTGCCTCACCTTAAGTATCTCTGTGCATGTTCATGTGTGTAGATCTACTTTATAGTTGGGGCAACTATACAATACAAGCAATAATTTTCATGGACCCGTTTTATTTGAAGGGCCACTGTCAGAGCTGCTTAAGCCAAAATTGAGCTTTTGTAGAAACCAAACCGGAGATAAACAAAAATGTTCCCATTATCATTGTTAGTGTTTAAATTCTAATACAAACAGTGGGTTTTGTTTGCCATGAAATATTTCCTTGCGGCGTTTGCAACTCAGACATTGCATAATAACCAGGAATTGACCGTAAAGAAGAATGAAAGTGACTGGTCGATTTTCATCACCCAAGCTGAGTAAAATGCAGACAAACAAACAAAAAACCTTAGTATACATTTTACTTTTTTAATTTTTTTTCCAGGTTTAATAATTAAAGGTTAGTAATGACACGGGTAAAGAAATATGTTCTTTAATAACATAGGCCTTTTAACCTAACATTATCTCTTTAAAAATGATGGACCCCTTTCTCCATCACCCTGCACCACTTTCCCACCGCTTCAGTCAAAGTTGTACAAATTATTTTAACCACGTTGCTCTGCAATATGGGGCTGGAAATCACACACAAATAGTCTCTCACTGTTCTTCTGCTTTAGGCATCAGCAGAAAACAATCTGGAAAAGCACAGACAGAGAAATCCTGAGATAGTGTAGGGCTGCCTGACCTCAACTCCCACTTCATCCAGCAACAGTGGAAGGCACCTTATAGGACTGAGCTAATGACAAATCAATCAATCAATCAATCAAGTTCAGCTCTAATTCTGGGGAGAAGTTTGCAGTGTTTTTATCCAAACTAGTTTTGCTCATCTCTAATGACCTATAATCAGAAGGGAAGAAACCTTCCTACATGAATGCGAAGCTTTGCAGAATGCTAGTACCCTCATACATTTCTGTAAGAATTAGTAAACTCCAGCTGTGCCTGGTGCTCTCCCTACATGCTTTCCCTGCCTTAGCCTCTACATAAATCTCTTCACTTGCAGCAATATCGGCCTCTTGTGTTAATAACATAATGTCACCATTCTGGTAAGATTTATATAGGAAAACTACCCTGAAAATTGCCCGGTCATTACACATTCCTTTGGAATCAATGTAACCCTGTAAATTATATTTAAATACATTCACGTTGACGTTCATTAGTGGATGTTTAAAACACAGTATTACAGAGGAGAAAAAACCTTGTAACTAAAACCTGCTCATTTAATACTGTTTTTAAAGAATGGAGTAAATATACAGTGTCTTCTTTCACTGGGGGTTTGGGACATGCTTGTTAGATGAAAATTAATAATCATTCAGAAAAAGAACCAACCCTATTACTAATCCGTACCAAACCGGCAGTCACTTGGTCTACAGTTACACGTTGGCCTATTTCTTATTAGCCAGACTAAGCGGGCATCAAGGGGCTATCGTCTGTCAAAATATCAGCAGGAGGAACAATTGACAAAGCCACCACTTGAGAATGTTGAGTAAACTGGGTAGAGTGCAGTGAAAGAAGTTAATGTGCAACCTGGCACACAGTGCCAGCCCAAGCCGTGAGAACCACTTATGTGATAATTGGTCCCTCGCAATATCTTCTGCTCTGTAAAACGTTGTCTTGGGCTTGTCTTTCAGCACAGGAACTGATCTCTTTGAGACGCAATGAAATAAACCCCCAGCCGAAAGCCCCCACCAGCTGACAGGGAAGGAATTCAGGTGGGAAAGTTTGCAATTTCTGAGAGGCTACAAACAGTTTCAGGTAACTCCAGACTTGCCCAGGGTCAGTAGAAAAAAAGCAGGCGTTTTTTCTGAAAGAAAGAGTAAACCAGTGCATTCGTAGGCACCATTTATTCAGCTCAGAAACATGCAATCTCTGGGATTCACAGTCATACACTTCAGCTTTTATCTTCCTTGCTGTCCAACCTTAAAAACTTCCTCTTATCGAATTGTTTGATCACCTTGGAGGGGAAGAAGTGTAAATCACAACTATAACAGAGCCCTCACAGGGCAGCTATACCAACTAAATATGTGCTCAGAGACTGTTGTGGTGAGGACATTATAAATACTTGGGTGGATGGGTGGACAATGACAAAGGCTGGAGAATATTGATCTTAGAATCAATCCAGGACTTTCTGGGTCTTTCGATTTTAATTTCTGTAATGCTTGTTTCCTATTTAATGGGAAAGGTGAACAAAACTGGAGTAGTAATATAATAATCATCATTAATAATAATAGGAGACAACTCATATATACATATATATTTATGTATGTGTACATACT